GTAAACAGACTAGTTCATAGAATAGTCCATAGAAAAGTCCATAGCCAATATAGTATTTCATTGACCAGTCTGTGGACTGGTCTATAGATTGTGGCCATTCCCTTAGTTAGTGTATAGACTTGTACATGAACTACTTATAGTACTAGTTCATCGACCTGTTCATACTCAAAGACCTAATCCATAGACCTAGTCACTAGTCTAGATCATAGACTAGTTAAAATACTGATCTAAAGAGTAGTCTTTAGACTAGTCTAGTCATTAGACTAGTCCATAGAATAATCAAAAGAATGGTTAATATACTATTCCGTAAATTAGTATAGTAATATAGTAATAGACCATATCTTGCAAATTGTGTTGTAACATAGTAAATGGTCTTGTAGTGTAATGAAGATTAGTATTAGTCTTGCAATGTTGCAAATGGTCTTGCAAAGTTGCATACTTTACCATCAAATCTAGTTTTTACTTAAGCCCATATAAATCTACAATGTTGCAAAGTGTTAAATGTATTAAGTAAATAAGTTTGCAACGTTGCAAATGGATTGGCTAATATGGTAAATGTAAAATTTTCTTATATTTTCACAAAATTTTGCATTTGCAAAGTAGAAAGAAAATTTGCACTAAAAAGTTGATATTAGTATTAATAGCAAAATGGTTTGCAACATTGTAAATTGTGTTTTAACATTGCAAATGGTCTTGTAACTTTGTATATGAAACATTTTACAACTTTTCTTATCAAAAATTTTGTATTTGCATAGAAAAATGAAATAGAAATATAATGCTGTTAGGTAAACCAAGTTTTAAATTATAAAAAGTGTTAACTATTAAGTGCAAATTATGTGGTAAACATTGTAAATGGACTCAAAATGCTGCAAATTTTTCCTTATTATTTTAAAATGAACATTTGGAAAGCGTCAAAGACAATTGCTATTACAAGTGAACTTGTGTTCGACATATGTTCCGTATTAAGTGCAAATTGTGTTGTAGACATTGCAAATAGACTAGCAATATAGTAAATGAAAAGTGTTCATATATTCATATGAAATTTTACCTTTGCTATGCAACAATAACATGTGCTTAATAATGAACATCATTACTAGTGTTCAAGTCGTAAAACATAAGTAGTATTCCATATTAAGTGCAACTTAACTTGTAGACATTGCAAATCGAATAGCAATATAGCAAATGAAAACATTTGCATTACAACAAAACTATTTATACTTAATATCGAACAGCACTATTTGTGTTCAAGTCCGTATTAAGAGCAAATAGACTTGTAGACATTGCAAATCGAATAGCAATATAGCAAATGAAAGGTGTTGGTATATTCTTGTTAATATTTATATTTGCAATTCGACAAGAATATTTGCACTTAATAATGAACACTATTATATCGTAGAACATAAATAGTATTCCGTATTAAGAGCAAACAGACTAGTAGATGTTGCAAATGCAAGGTGTTCGTATGATCTTATAAAATTTTACATTTGCAATGCGACAGCAACATTTGCACTTAATAATGAACACCATTATTAGTGTTCAAGTCGTGAAATCTAAGTAGAATTTCGTATCAAGTGTAAATTAACTTGTAGCTATTGCAAATAGATTAGCAATATAGCAAATAAAAGGTGTTCGTATATTCTTATAAAATTTTATATTTGCAATGCAACAAGATCATTTGCACTTTGGTAATTAAGTTTCAAAATATATTGTAGCCATTGCAAATAGGCTAGCAGTATAGTAAATGTAAAATGTTTGTATATTTTAATAAAATTTTACATTTGCAAGGCGACAAGAACATTTGCACTTTGGTATTTAAGTTTCAGAAAGTGTTCTAGCCATTGCAAATAAACTAGCAGTATAGTAAATGTAAAATGTTTGTATATTTTAATAAAATTTTACATTTGCAAGGCGTCAAGAACATTTGCACTTTGGTATTTAAGTTTTAAAACGTTAATAGAGTTTATTATTAAACAAAAATGGTCTGGTAAACATTGCAAATGGTCTGGTAAACATTGCCAATGATCTGGTAGACATTGCAAATGGTCTGGTAAACATTGCAAATGCTCTGGCAGTATTGTAAATGTACAAATTCTAGATCATTTTAATAATGAACACTATTATGTCGTAAAACATAAATAGTATTCCATATTAAGAGCAAATAGACTAGTAGATGTTGCAAATGTAGCAAATTCAAGGTGTTCGTATGATCTTATAAAATTTTACATTTGCAATGCGACAGCAACATTTGCACTTAATAATGAAGACCATTACTAGTGTTCAAGTCTTGAAATCTAAGTACAATTTCGCATAAAGTGTAGCTGTTGCAAATACATATATTAGAAATAAAGCAAATGAAAGGTGTTCGTATATTCTTATAAAATTTTATATTTGCAGTGCAACAAGAACATTTGCACTTTGGTATTTAAGTTTTAAAATGTGTTGTAGCCATTGCAAATAGACTAGCAGTATAGTAAATGCAAAATGTTTGTGTATTTTAGTAAAAGTTTACATTTACAAGGCGACAAGAACGTTTGCACTTTGGTATTTGAGTTTCAAAATGTATTGCAGCCATTGCAAATAAACTGGCAGTATAGTAAATGTAAAATGTTTGTATATTTTAATAAAATTTTATATTTGCAAGGAGACAAGAACATTTGCACTTCGATATTTAAGTTTCGAAATGTGTTGTAACCATTGCAAATAGACTAGCAGTATAGTAAATGCAAAATGTTTGTATATTTTAATAAAATTGTACATTTGCAAGGCGACAAGAACATTTGCACTTTGGTATTTAAGTTTTAAAACGTAAAAGGAGTTTATTACTAAACAAAAATAGTCTGGTAAACATTGCCAATGATCTGGTAGACATTGCAAATGGTCTGGTAAACATTGCAAATGGTCTGGCAAAATTGAAAATGTACAAATTCTAGATTATTTTAATAATGAACACTATTATGTCGTAAAACATAAATAGTATTCCGTATTAAGAGCAAATAGACTAGTAGATGTTGCAAATGTAGCAAATGCAAGGTGTTCTTATGATCTTATAAAATTTTACATTTGCAATGCGACAGCAACATTTGCACTTAATAATGAAGACCATTGCTAGTGTTCAAGTCGTTAAATCTAAGTACAATTTCGCATAAAGTGTAGCTGTTGCAAATATATTAGCAATATAGCAAATGAAAGTTGTTCGTATATTCTTATAAAATTTTATATTTGCAATGCAACAAGAACATTTGCACTTTGGTATTTAAGTTTCAGAATGTGTTGTAGCCATTGCAAATAGGCTAGCAGTATAGTAAATACAAAATGTTTGTATATTTTAATAAAATTTTACATTTGCTATGCAACAACAACATTTGCACTTTGGTATTTAAGTTTCAGAATGAGTTGTAGCCATTGCAAATAGAATAGCAGTATAGTAAATGTAAAATGTTTGTATATTTTATTAAAATTTTACATTTACAAGGCGACAAGAACATTTGCACTTTGGTATTTAAGTTTCAGAATGTGTTGTAGCCATTGCAAATAGGCTAGCAGTATAGTGAATGTAAAATGTTTGTATATTTTAATAAAATTTTACATTTGCAAGGCGACAAGAGTATTTACACTTTGATATTTAAGTTTCAAAATGTGTTGTAGCCATTGCAAATAAACTAGCAGTATAGTAAATGTAAAATGTTTGTATATTTTAATAAAATTTTACATTTCAAGGCAACAAGAACATTTTCACTTTGATATTTAAGTTTCAAAATGTATTGTAGCCATTGCAAATAAACTAGCAGTATAGTAAATGTTAAATGTTTGTATATTTTAATAAAATTTTACATTTGCAAGGCGACAAGAACATTTGCAATTCGGTATTTAAGTTTCAGAATGTATTGTAGCCATTGCAAATAGAATAGCAGTGTAGTAAATGCAAAACGTTTGTATATTTCAATAAAATTTTACATTTGCAAGGCAACAAGAACATTTGCAATTCGGTATTTAAGTTTTAAAACGGAAACAGAGTTTATTAGTAAGCAAAAATGGTCTGGTAAACATTGCATATGGTCTGGTAAACATTGCCAATGATCTGGTAGACATAGCAAATGGTCTGGTAAACATTGCAAATGGTCTAGCAATATTGTAAATGAAAAATTTTTAGATTATTTTAGTACTTAATAGTAAAAACCATAGTTGTTATAGGTTTAGTAAAGAACATGTCGACATATTGCAGTTATTATTGTTAATTATAAAGGGAAACAGGATAAGGCTTTCTATAACTAATTTATTTATTATATAACTAACACATTAAACAAAAAAAATTATAAACTAAAAATCTACTTAACATTCCAGTTAAATTTAAAAAATTAAAATCTAAATAAATCCAAAATAAATTTGCTATAGCAAATTTTAAATAAAACTGATAAATCTGATGAAAAGCTGCTGTTTTGAAAGAGCTTTTAGAGTTGCGTTAAAAAGAAAAACTGAATGAAAAATAACATAACAAGTTGGCGGAGATGGAAGGCTGATTGATATTGGATAACGTATTAAAAAGGAATGTAAGTGTTGCAAACTAAAACCCCTTGTTGTAGAATATGTAGTATATGAAAAGAGCTTTTTGCCTGGGTAAAAATGCAATAACAAAAGTTTTGTTTTTTGTTTAGAAGGAAACCTTTAAAAAAAGCTTAGCAAAAATATATATACAAAAACAAACTTAATTTTAAATAATTATTTAACAAATTGCTATGAGTGTGTTAACAATTTTTTTTAAAGCCAATCTTAAACAATTTATATACAAACATGTTTTTTTTTTTCAAAAATTTAAGATCAAAAAAAGTAATAAGAAAAATTTCAAATTCTTTTGCATTTTCGTTGTTGTTTTTAAACTTAATTTAAGAAAAAACTCTTATTAAAATTTTTTATAAAAAAAAATTAAAAAAAAAACAATTGAATAAATTAAGGAAAAAGGAAAGTAACACAACTTAAAAAAATAATAAATTGCCATTATTTACCATATTTTGGGTAATTAATCCCTGACTGGTTTCAGCCGCCCCACTCCCGTCTCAAAGGTAAACCTAATGGGAAAGAAAAAAGGAAAAACAGGTAAGAAAAAAGTAGAAAGATAGTATAGAGATTTGAGTTCTTTTCTTGCTATTGTCTTGGATTTTATGTTTTTTTTCTTAAATGGATTTACAAAAATGTATGAAGAAATTATTGAAAACTTAATATTATAATAAAAATGAAAATTTTTTAAAAAAATTTACAAATCGATTGGTGTATTTGATTTTTTATTAAGTTTTAGAAAAAAAAATTTATTTGTTGTATGTACATTAGAAAGAAAAATGTTAAGATAGTAGGTAGAGAGTGTTAAAGTTTAAAACAACCCCCAAAAAGCTTCATGGACAGCAGTTTATATTTAATAATGATTTATAAATTAAAATATTTAAAACTTAAGAAATTAGAAAATTTTCAAATAAATAAATTTTATTAAAAAAAAAACATCATGCAGTTTAATTTGTAAATTAAAAAGCTTTTGCTATACATAACACCATTCGGAAACTTTAAGAAATTATACATTTCCAAAAATCTCAAAAGTTTTAAAAGAAAATTTCATAATTTCTAACATAAAATAAAAAAAAAGCTTTAAAGCTTTTTTGGAGCATTCCTTAAGCATTGCTGTTATTCCCAAAATCTATCATAAAAGCTTTAAGTATTCCCGTTTAACAATTTTTCCATCATATAAAACCGTTAATAAAAATCGACCACATTTAAAGAGCACTCAGTTTATACATTGTATATTAAAAGCTTAATCGGATATTTTACAAATACAGATGCAAAGTTCCAAAGAATTCCTTTTATAATAGATTTTAATAACATTTCCGAATATTTCTATAAGCCTCCTATAAGAGTGCTTTTAAAACTAGTAATGCAAACGAATGTAAAAACTCTTGATCTCTGGACTTTATCGTTGAAACGTAACCCATTAGAATAACTCAGACTTTTGGATTTCTAAAATCACTTTTCTCAAGATCCCTTAGGCTCGATAAATCTCTATATAAAATCAAATGCAAAGGATACAGACAAAACAGTAGCACTCGAGACTTCTAAATGAAGGCTTTTGTGCCGCTCTAATCGATCAGATTGCAACTTAGTTGGTCAATATAGTAGCACCTGAGACTTCTAGATAGGTTGGATCATCGAACAGGAGTCAATCTATGTTGAAATGACCTTTCAAGGAAGGCTTTTAACTTCTTTGCGTTTAATCGATCGGATTGCAAGTTAGTTGGTCAATGTAGTAGCACTCGAGACTTCTAGATAGGTTGAATTATAGAATAGGGGTCCATCTAAGTCGAAATGATCTTTTAAGGCAGACTTTTGTGCCGATTTGCGTCTAATCGATCGGATTGCAACTTAGTTGGTCAATGTAGTAGCACCTGAGACTTCTAGATAGGTTGGATCATAGAACAGGAGTCCATCTATATCGAAATGATCTTTCAAAGAAGGCTTTAAAGCTTATCTGCATCTAATCGATCGGATTGCAAGTTAGTTGGTCAATGTGATAACTAAAGTCGAATGGTTAATTGTCTAATCAATAGACTAGTCTATGGACTAGCCCATAGACTAGGCCGTAGACTAGTCAATGGACTAGACCGTAGAATAGTCAATAGAGTAAAGATTATATCGCGTCAAGGCCATTTAAACTGAGCCGAAATGCTCCAATTCTTTAGCAACCTCAGATGTAGCAGATCAAGCTGCATATGCAGTTCCTAAACGGCAGCAATTAAAGGAGGATTAGCTCCTGCCACAGAGCCTAATTCATAGTGATACTTTTACAACGGCAGGCTGAGCCTGAGAAGATTAACAGGTCCCTTTTGTGTTCAAAGGACACGCAAGTGGTTCCATGGTTCCGTCGGTCCATATACAAGCGACTTGCCTTAAGCACTTTAGCCATTTCGCCGATTGTTGCCCCGTTACTTAATTTCCGAGATGCGGAAAACATCACTTCCGTTTACAACCTCGCAAATGGTATTGTATCGGTTGATTCCGCAACAGTACCTAGAGGCGTAATCGGTAGACCGAAATATGAATCCATAAAATAAGTCAAAGACAAGATCTTACTCACAGAAAACACACTGTGTTAAGTCTGGTATAGACAGAGTAAACTCTGAACATACCCTGACAAGGAAGGGAATTTCCACCGTACATCCATCACCATTCAATCCAGCACACTTCTCATTTATCCGACACATTTATTGTGGAAAACATAGCTCCACATTCTCTCGCCTTATTCGGCAACAGTACCAAACTTATTCCGTAATTTAGACTCGAATCTGTATTTGTCTTTTAAGCAACTTTGTCTTCCCGAGATTTTGGATTTAAACCATAGCCGACCGATGGGACCCCTCCAATAACTGGTACAAGACATAGTTCTGCCCTGCGGCTACCGGTGCCATGCTACCAGATAAGGTAAGCTCTCTGGCTTGATCCCACATCAAATCATTTCAAGGGCCCGTCAGACTAGAGGTACTGGTAGCACCTCTTTTCCCTCGAAGTGCAATTACACCAAGATGGGGAAGATTCATCACGGCAAGGACTCCCGGGGGGGGGAAACAGATTCTAGAGTGAGGTTGAAATTCCACTGACTTGTTCCATAGTTTAAAAGATCTTCAACGAAGGTATAATCTCCCAAAAGTGGTTAATCAGCCGTTCGAAATATCTGGGTGTTTACTGGAAGATACGAGAGGGGAACCCTGGTCCATTTGGCCAAAATGATAATGCTGACAATCTGGTATCAAGCACATGATTATTCTGGCAGAACCTTAAGGCCAAAAGGTAATGATGGCGGCAGATGCAAGGTAGTGGGACACGAGAAGTCTGTTTGCAACTGTAATGTTGATTTCATAGCAATGTCGGATATAGACTACTACTGTTTGCAAAAATCGTATAAATAAAAGAACTCTTAAACAAGATGTAACATGGAACTATCTTGTTCTATAACTATGAAGCTTTCCCCAAAGCTAAATTTCTTCTGTTGAAGTTGCCGAATACAAAGATACAACTTCTATGTCTTCTATGTCACTATCCTACATTATGGGACATTCTCTATGAATTCGTGGGGGCAACGATTCTAAGAAGACTTGACCGAACTCTAAAGCATTAGAGTGTACTGTCAGGTACTAAATAGGCTTGAAAATATTAACCCCCGATCGCATCGAAATGGTTTTTGACTTCTATATCTCTCTCTAACTCTTCTTCAACTTCTTATATTCTATTCCCACTATCGTTTCTATGTCTTACTTCATTCCCCTTCATATCTAACGTATAACGAAAGCATCAAAATTACCCGGGTGTTCTATGAAAGCGCCTAAAAAATATATATCGGGGTTCATATGTAATCATTTTATAGAGAAAGGAATTAAAGAAAATCTTTTCATGAAAATTAATTTATCGAATATCTTTCGATTGTCTATGAATGATCAATATCTATATTTTTTAAACACTTAACATGCCATTTGTGAAATATTTAGACACCTAAAACTACTAGACATTTAACACTTAAATGATCATACAATCATTTCTGAATAAAATCATAAAAAACAAAATTCTTAAAAAAATAAAATGATTAAAATTATATAATTAAACTACACATTTAATACACAAAACACTAATATTTCAAACTAAAAAAAAAAATTAAAACAAAAAATACACCAATCGACGACTGTGATCAAGCTAATATGTTAAAATAAAATCATAGAAAACATAAAACATATTTACACCATATATATCAAACATCAATAATGTGTATAATCATAGAAAAGGAATAAACTGAAAAATTCAAAACTAACTCACCTTCTTGACACTGCGAGTGGTGGAAAAGCCATCACCACGACGATAATTATCACCCTAAAATGAAATTTGTTAGAAATGATATAGTTAAATTATTAAAGATCATATTAATGTTTTGTTGGGGGGGGGGCCGAACTTACCATAACTTGATGAGATCTTAAAGTACCGAAATTATCGCGACAACGATATGTTTGTTGTGTATTATAGCCATCGGGCTGAAATTGGAAGAATGTTTCGGAATTGGGTGCACCATGATGTTGCATGGGTTTACGTAAAGTACTCTTTGGTGAATGCATTTTATTTTGACTTGGTGGTTGAGGTAATAATACCGGTTCAGCATAGGTTACCTCTTCAACTTGAGGTAATAATTTGGGTTCAGCTTGAATTCTAGATTAATGAAAGAAAATAAAATAATAATAAATACAAATCATGTTGAAGAAATATTTGGGAAATTAGTTAAAATTATGGACTAGGCTACTGAGTAATCTATGGACTAGTCTATGGACTAGTCTAAAGACTAGTCTAGCGACTAGTCTAGAGACTAGTCGAGGGACTAGTCCAGAGACTAGTCTAGGGAGTAGTCTAGAGACTAGTTTAGGGAGTAGTCTAGAGACTAGTCTAGGGACTAGTTTAGGGACTAGTCTATGGATTAGTCTAGGGACTAGTCTATGGACTACTCTAGGGACTTGTCTATGGACTAGTCTATGGACTTGTCGATGGACTAGTCTATGGACTAGTCTAGGGACTTGACTATGGAGTAGTCTATGGACTAGTCTGGGGACTAGTCTAGGGACTAATCTAGGGACTAATCTAGGGACTAGTCTAGGGACTAGTCTAGAGACTAGTCTATGTAATAGTCTATCGACTAGCCTATGGACTAGTCTATTGACCAGTCTATGGACTAGACTATGGACTAGTCTTTAGACTATTCTATGGATATGTATATGGACTAGTCTATGGATTAGTCTATGGACTAGTCTATGGATCATTCTATGGACTACTGTATGGGCTAGTTTATGGACCATTCTATAGACTAGTTTACGGACAATTCAATGGACTAGTTTATGGACTAGTCTGTGTCTATTCTATGCACAAGTCTAGGAACTATTATATGAACTAGTCTATTGACCAGTCTATGAACTAGACTATGGACTATTCAGACTGTTGTATGGCCTAGACTATCGACAAGTCTATGAACCAGACAATGGACTTGTCTACAGAAAGGCTAGTCTATGTATTATTTAATGTACCTATATACTATATTATTTAGTAGTCTATGGACTATACTATGTACTTATCCAAGGTCTATGGAGAAGTGTATATTCTTTTTAAGGGCTAAAGAGAATTCTATGGTCTAGTAAATGGACTAATATATTGCCCAGGCAATAGACTCTGCTATTGGACAATTCTATTGACTGGTCTATTGTTAACTATATGAACTACACAATGAATAGTCCATAGACTGGTCCATTGACTAGTTTATTAGACAAGTCCATTTACTGACCCGTCTAAGGACTCTTTCTTTTCATATAAATAGCGACAAACTTTCTATGGAAAAAGTCTGGCGATCTTATCTTACTTCACTTACCTATTAACATTTTGCCGTTGTTCAAAATATTCATATTCCGTATCGGGATAGGGTAAATTATCATCCTCATCCTTATGACAACGACGACCACAAAAGTAGCCGGTAAAGAAACCAACTAATAGCGAGAATATGGAACCCGCCAAAACAGCCATCACTAAGGTTTCAACAGTATATTGAGCATTGATTATATCTGGAGAAATTTGTGGACCTTTTTTTGATTAGTTTCAAAAAGCGCATAGTTTTTGTTTTTTTGCAAAAAACACAGTGTTTTGGTTTTCAATATTGTTTTGTTTTTTGAACAGTGTATTTTCAATTTGTATTGTTGTTTTTCCATATTTTGTGGTAAAGAATGTTTGTGTGTGGGTGTGTGATAAGGTAGATAGATATATATGGAGATATGAGTGAGTATAGCCAATCAGTGTGTTTGATTTTTGTAAACATCATAACGGTTTTTATTGCAAATATATTTTGTGAGAGCAAGAGAGAGTAAATGTAGACATCGAACAGCAACAACAACAACATAAATTAAACATCAAAAACATTGATACAAAAATTCCAATCAAAGTAAATTTGCATGTTGGGTAGAGGTATGTTTGTATGTGTATGTATACATTTAGTTTGCAGGATTGTATTTTTATTGTTTTTTTTTTTTTTTTTTGTAACAACATTTATTATAGTTAAAAGTTTTACAACAACATGTAAAAAAGATCCAAAATTGTAAAAAAAGGAACAAAGAGAACAAATATAAAAAAGAACTTGATTAAAATTTCAACGAAAATTATTTCTTTTTTCGATTTTTGTTCAAAAATTGTTAAAAAAAATATAATAAAAATTTCTTGCTAAATATTAAACTGGAACTAAAAAAAAAAACTAATAAATAAGTGAAATAAATTAGTAATTTGCAAAATAAATTTTAATTAAAAAAATGCAACCCTGTGTTATTAATCTAAAGTAAAACAACTCTGTTGATAATAACAGACATGTTGTTGATTGAATTAATTGAAATCGGGTTGCATTAAAGCAGTTTTTTTGTTAATTTGTTATGTTAATGAAGAACATGCATTTTGTTAAAATTAAACAATAATATGTGATAAAAAAAACTTAAATAAATAAAAATAAATAAAAATAAAATTAATTTTAAGTAAATTGCTTCATGCTGATTAGTGTTTATGTAAACAGGACTAACTATGAATATAGTTTTTAATTAAACTTGTGAATTTTTAAAAAGGATTATACATCTCATTGCTATTCATAATTTCCGAGAATACAGATTGTATAATTGTGACTCTTGATCCTATTTAAGAAAGAAAATCCATAAAAACCGAATTCTTGGAAAGATTTTGGAAAAGCAGTCATCGGCAGAGTGCTCTCTGTCTAGTTTTTTTAAGATTATGTACATGTGATAGCCAAAGCTTGAGAAAGTCGACGAGAGAGCCTTTTGCTGATATAGGTTATAGAGAGAGAGTGTATAACATGTCATTGGCAAAAATGAAGAGTTAAAGAAGAAGGGTTTACTCGGATGGGGATTCAGAGAACCTCAGCCTTTTAAATGCAAACTCTGAATCCTCAAATTAGAACTACAACAACAACATATTTTCTAATTCCAACTAGGATGAAGTAGAGAGGTGGATCAATTGGACGACAACCAAAAAAAGCTATTGATCAGCAAAAATTGGCTATGAAGAGCACAGATATTGAAAACGCTTCAGAAATTATATTGAGGCCAGCTCCAGATACTTCGAAGGTAATATCAGATTTTACATTAACATCTGTCGAGACAAGGGTATCTAGTGTGAAAGGGATAGTGTTAAAACCTTGTCATGCCTCTCTCGAAGGGCTTCATGCCAAAAATCTAGGCTGTAACAAAGGCAGTGCCCCGAAGATAAGAAGATCTATGTGGGACACACATATGAGAAAAGCTACAGAATTCATATTAATTCAAGCTCACTCCGACACTGTGAAGCTCAAATAACAAACCATTTTTAACATCTGTGAGACAAAAAGCTTCAGAAATTATATTGAGACGAGCCACCGATACTTCGAAAGATAAATCGGACTCTTATTTAGCATCTTTCGAGACAATACTATATAGATGTAAAATTCTATCATATATCATACCTCTCTCGAAGGGCTTCCTACCAAAAATCTTGGCTGTAACAAGAGCAATGCCAAGTAAGTTATTCAAAAACCCCGAAGATAGGGGCGTTTGAAAAGAATTCCTTACTAATGCGGAAGAAGAAGCCAGACGCTGAAAAGTACTGCTATCTTATGCTAAATCTGTCAAGAAAAGATAACGAAACGATCAGTATATGACGCGACAACAAAGCCAAACTTTCGACCATTAAACATGTCTATGTGGGACACACACATGAGAGAAGCTAAAGAAATCATATTGATTCAAGCTCAGGACACTCCGAAGGGAAAACCAGAAACTTTATTCTCAAAGCTATTCCCTCAAAAGGCTTTATATCAAAAATCTAGGTAGTAAGGAAGGCAAAGCTAAGTCAGTTGTTGAAAACCTCCTCAGCTAAATAAAGTCCAAAGATAAGATTACGCAAGAGGAAGCCTGATGCTGAATGAGAGCTGCAATCTTAAGCCAAAGCTGCCAAGAAAAGATACCAAGAGGCAAAATATCAGAAATTAGTCGTGGAGAAATGGGGGTTCCTTTACGAAATAGAGAACACTGCAGGTACTCTTATTCTGTTAGGCATCAACCAGAACTCCAATGCTTGCCTTTCCATGAACATGATATAAAATATTGTGCCTCAGAAGTTTTTGCCATTGGACTCAAAAAATCGGTGCCAACATTATCATTAGCCACTGCAGGTAATATAGATGAGTTGATGTTCTAATCACGACTCTAATAAAATCGAAGTTCATTTAGTAATCGATCATGCTCCAATCATTGTTCTTTTAAGAAACCAAAGATTGTTCTTTTAAGAAACCACATACCGTTCTTTTAGAAGTCCTATTGTGAATCTTTTAACAATCCCAGATTTATTAATAATGATGGCTCAACTGTGGTTCTTTTAACAGTCCAACTGTAGATCTTTTCGCAGTCTAAGTTAAGTAGCTTCAAAAGCCCTATGGTGTTTCATTAAAGAGTCTAATTGTTGTTACTTAAGCAGTCAAATAGTGCCTCATTTAACAGTTCTAGTTGGAGCGCACAACAGGCCCGATAGTGGCCCAGGTGTATTTCTTCGGATTTGATGTAGTATACATCCTTCTATCAACCTTACCTAACCTAACAGTTCTAGTTTCTTTTCACAGTCCATAGCGTGATTTTTTCACCAGTTTAATCGTAATTCCTTTAACAGTCCATTCTGGGGTAATTTAGTGTTCTTTTTACAGTCCAATTGTAGTTCTTTCAACATCCTAATCCGGTAATGGTGTTTCTATTGAGAGTACAATCGTTTTACTTTTGAGAGTTCAATTGTGGGTTTTCTCAAAGTTTAATCGTGACTCCTTTAACAGTTCTATCGCATTTCTTTTATTAATTAAATTTTGGTTCTTCTAACACTTCAATCGTGGGTATTTTAGTGATCTTTTAGCAGTCTGATTGCGGTTCTTTCAATATCCTAATCCGGTATACTTCAGGAGCATAATGGTGTTTCTATTGAGAGTACAATCGCGTTACTTTTGAGAGTTCAATTGTGGTCCTTTTAAAAGTTTAATCGTGATTCCTTTACGAGTTCAATAATGTTTTTTTTTTAACTGTCAAATTTGTTTTTTTTTTAAGTATTGAATTGTGGTTCTTTTAGTAGTCCAATTGTGTTGCTTTGAAGTGTCTTTTAACAGTCCAATTCTCAAAATCTAATAGCGGATAATTTCACAGTTCCAATTGTGATTTCTTTAACACATCAATCGTGATTCCTTTAAGAGTCTTATCGTATTTCTCTTAACAGTTAAATCGTAATGCTTTTAACAGTCCAATTGCGGCTCCTATAACAGTTCAATCGTAGGTATTTTTGTGATCTTTTAATAGTCCGATAGTGGTTCTTTCAACATCAAAATCTAATAGCGGATAATTTCACAGTTCCAATTGTGATTACTTTAACACTTCAATCGTGATTCCTTTAAGAGTCCTATCGTAGTTCTTTTTTTTAACAGTCAAATTGTGTTTTTTTTACGTCCAATTGCGGCTCCTATAACTGTTCAATCGTAGGTATTTTAGTGATCTTTTAACAGTCCGATTGTGGTTCTTTTAACATCATAACCAGGTATACTTCAGTGGCACAATGGTGTTTCTTTTGGGAGTTCAATTGTGGTTCTTCTCAAAGTTTAATCGAGGTTCCTTTAGTAGTTTAATCACGGTTCTTTAGACTTTCAAACTTTTGTTTACTATTCAATTATAGTTCCTTTTGTAGTCCAATTGCGTCTCGTTTGAGTCCAAAAGCGGATAAGCTTACAGTTCCAATCGTGTTTCTTTGAAGGGTCCAATCGATTCTATCGAAGTTCTATTAACAGTCAAATCGCGATTTCTTTAGTACTCCAATTTTGATCACTTTAACAGTTTTTTTCCTAATTCTTTGAACAGCTAGATCCTGATTCTTTTAACAGTCCGAACGTGATTCTTTTAACAGTCCATTTCAACTGTTTAATCGTGATTCTTTTTAATGCTATAATCGTGGATTTCCCAACAGTCCAATCGTGGTTCTTTTAATACTCCAATCCTTGTACTTTTAAGAGTTCAATAATCGTTATTCCCTAAACAGTTTTACTTTCTATTACTTAACTCAGTTTAACTCGTGGATCATTTAAGAGTTCAATCTAGTTTCTTTGGTTCATTCTTTTGATATCTATTAATAGTCCAGTAAGGGTTCTTTTTACATTCTTATAATAGTTCCTTTAATATGTAGTTTAATTGTTTGTGTTTAATTTCATGCAAAATTAAATATTAAAAAAAATCAAAAAAAAATTTGTATTAAAATTCTGAATGAATTACCAAAAAGCCATGCAATAACAAAAAAGACAACAATAACAACAAATTTACAACAGAAATTTTCTTTTCTCAATTATATATATAAAAAAATAACACTGAACAAAAGCCATAACATTATTACGAATTTAGCGTTTAACATTACCTTCAAAGTTTTTATCTTGCATAATATTGATCATTTCCTGATCTTTACTTTGACGTCTTTGATCCAAAAGACCCATATCATCACGATAGCCTTTCTGTTCACCAACATTGGCATCTTTGGAATTGATTTTACCTAAAGAGAGTAAAGAGTAAACAAAACATTATTGAGAATATTTAAAGAGTAAAGAAATTTAAGGATTAAATGCTGGAGATTTTTCTCAACTAGACCTTAACTGCTATAAGTAGCCATTAACTTTATAAATGATTTTCATATATATAGCCATAAAACATGAAATGTTTTCAATTGCCTTTAAGGCTCATAATAGATGCTATTTTTAGTTGTTTTCTTTTTTCTGAAAATCTTATGAACTTTAAATTGAACTCTCTCAAACATACACATACTTTTGAAATACTATGTATGCGTAACATTATATTTATGTATGTGTGTGTGTAACAATATATGGACCATAAAAGTACCAGATTCCAACAACAACAACAAAATTGAATTACATTAATATTATAAAATCTCGTTTAAAAAGTATAAAACAAAACATCAACAACAACAACAACAACAAAAATGTTGTTTGTTTTTTGCACTCAACTTTTTCAACAATAAAATAAATAAAAATGTTGGTACAACAATGCTTCGTTGGTTAGTTGTTTTAATATACAATTCTACAGGATGCGATGATAATGTTGTTGCTGTTACCGTATATCACACAGTCAGCTATACCAGCAGCAGTACAAGCATCACCATCATCAGCAACAACGACAGCAGCAGCAGCAGCAAAACAAATTGCAATTTTCACTTTTGGCAATAATCCAAATCTCCAATTACACATGAAATTTTTATTACAACAATGTTACAAAAACAAAAAAAAAAAAAAAAAAACAAAAAACGTAAATGTATAAAGAAGGGTCACAATAACGGCAACAACTACAACACCAACAACAAACAATAACATCATCAACAACAACAACAGCAATAAGACATGATAGCAATTTACTATAATTCTTTTGGATGTTTTTTTCGTTCATTGTTGGCTGTTGATGTAGCCGATGATGGTTGTAGATGATACCACGTGCTCTACAGTGGATTGTCGAAATGATGAATGTTTTTTTTTTTTTTTTTATTGTGGACCAACATAATTGAACAAATCATTATTCTCGTGGGGTTAAGAGGCATAAAGAAGTAGAGAAATTTATTTAATTAAGGACTTTTGAGGCTAAAGAAACTGTATGAATATCCAAACACAAGTAATGAATATGAAAAATTCTATATGTATCTTTAAGTCGGAATAAATTTATAAAGTTTGTAATCACTGAAATTAAAGGGTGAAATTCTGAACAACACCAAAAGCTTTTATCCTTTTGACCATTCAATACACATTCCTTTATTGTTTGAATATAGATTCTGTTAGCAGATCTATCATAGTTCCTTTAACAACTGTAACTCAAATCCAGATTCTACATGGTCTTTATAACAATTTAATCGTGATTCTTTTAACCATTTAAACATGGCTCCTTTATGGTTCCTATATATGCTCTTTTAGCAGTTCTGAGATGGTTCCTGTTAACGATTCAATTCAGGGTTCTTAGAACAGTTCAGTCGTGTTTTCTTCAAACACTCCAACACGATTCTTTTAACAGTTTATCGATGTAGTTTTAACAGTTCTATCTTTGCGCCTTGGGCCATCTAGTCGAGGTTTTTTTAACACACCAATCGTTACCTTTTAACCAATGTAATCGTGTAACTTCCGACAGCACAATTGTGATCTTTTGACCAACGTAATCGCGAAAATTCTGGCTATCAAGTTGCGCTTCTTTGATCGCGGTTCCCTTAAGGTCCAATCCTGCTTTATTAACAGTTACATTTTTGTTCTTCAGTTGTCTTTTAACCAACGTAATCGTTTAACTTTCGACAGCCCAGTTGCAGTTTTTTGACCAACGTAATCGCTCATCTTCGGACTGTCAAATCACGCTTCTTCTGATAATTTGATCGTGATTCTTTTATTCTTTGAACAGTTTAATCACTGTTCTTTCAGCAGCCCAATCGTGTTTATTTTAAACAGTCCTTTAATGTCCAACCGTAGTGCGTTTGAACGTCCAATCGCGGTTCATTTAAGAGTCCAACTGTGGTTCTTTGGAATGTCCAATCGTGGTTCATTTAACAGTCCAACTGTGGTTCTTTTCCAAGGTCCAATCGAGCTTCGTTTAACAGTTCAATTGTAGTTCCTTTGGCAATCTAACGACAGTTTTTCCAACGTAATCGTTTAACTTCTGACTGCCCAATTGTAGTCGTTTGACCATCTTTGGGCTGTCAAATCGCGCTTCTTTTGATAATTTGACCGTGACTCCTTAATAGTTCAATCATGATCCCCTTTTACATGTCAAGTCTGGCTTCATTAAAAAGACAAGTTGCGAATCAAAAGTTTTTCGTTTAACAGTTCAGCAATCTAACTGCAATTCTTTCAACAGTTTACCAATTTAACAGTTCAATCGTAGTTCCTTTGGCTACCTAACTACAGTTGTTTCAACAGTTTACTCCTAGCTTTTCCGAAATGTAGGTCGTGGTTCATAAGACAAGCGAATCCAATCTTTCTTTGAACAATCACAGTCCTATGGTGTTTATTTTCAAAGTCCAACAGTAGTTCTTTTAAAGGACCAATCGCGATTCGTTTAACAGCGTTTCTTTCAACAGTTTTTGTTTTGGCAGTCGGAACGTCGTTCTTTTTAGAAGTCTAATCCAATATCTTTTAATAGTTCAATTGTGGTTCCTCTAATAGTTCCATTGTGGTTATTTTAGTGATCTTTTAACAGTTCGATTATAGTTCTTTCAACAAACTAATTATCCGGTATCTTTCAGTAGCCTAATCGTGCTTTTTTGAACAGTCCAATCGTCTTTCTTTTGAGAGTCCAACTGAAGTTCTTCTAAAAGTTTATTTGAGGTTCTTTAAGCAGCTTAATCATGGTTATTTTAACCGTAAAACTGTGCTTTTCCACTATTCAATCGTGGTTCTTTTAGTAGTCCAATCACGGTACTTTTGATAGTCCGAACGTGGTTCTTTTTAGAAATCTAATCGCATATCTTTTAATAGTTCAATTACGGTTCCTCTAATAGTTCAATCGTGCTTATTTTAGGGATCTTTTAACAGTTCCATTTTGGTTGTTTTAACATCCTAAGCCATTATCATTCAGCAGTCTAATCGTGTTTCGTTTCACAGTCTAATCAAGCTACTTTTGAGGGTCCAATTGTAGTTATTTTTCGCTTCTTTAGTAATCCAGTTACCATTCTTTTGACAGTATTATCGTGGTTACTTTTAAAAGCATTATGGTGTATCTTTTAACAGTCCTATTTATTCGCGTTTCCTTGTGTTTTAAACGTAGTTCTTTTGACAGTCTGATAGTGGTTCTTTAAACAGCATAATATTGAATGTTAAAGCTGCCTAATCATGTTTATTTTAACAGCCCAAGCGTGATTATTTAAGAGTCCAATCACAGTTCTTTCAAAAGTCCAATCGTAGTTACTTTGACAGGTTAATCGACAGTTTAATTGTGATATTAAAAGTCTCAAACCATCCGATTTTCCATAATTTATTTGAATCCTAAATCGTGGATCTTTAAATAGTTCAACTTTGATTCTTTAGTGATACTTTTGACAGTTTCTTTTAAGAGTCCAATTGTGGTTCTTTTTCTTTCCCTCATTAGTCCAATTACGGTTCTTTTGACAGTCTGATCGTGGTTCTTTTTAAAAGCCTAATGGTGTATCTTTAAACAGTGAAATTGAACAGTTCAGTCGTGTTTCCTTGTGATATGAACGTAGTTATTTTGACAGTCTGATAGAGCTTCTTTAAATAGCCTAATCTTGAGAGTTTAAGCAGCCCAATCGTGGTTTTTTGGGAGTCCAATCATGGTTCTTCCAGCAGTCCAATTTTAGTTCCTTTAACGGGCTAATTGCCCGTTAAACCGTCCGATCATCCATCGTTCATTTGCATCCTTAAGCGTGCATCTTTAAATAACTCAAATAAGATTCTTTAGTGACATCTTTGACAGTTCAATTGAGTTTCTCTTAGCAATCCAATCACGCTTTCTCTTACCGTTCCAATCTTAGTTCTCTTAAGAGCTGAAATCATGATCCTAATATCTCTAAAGTTCAAATGGGACGATCAAAATGTTCGAAGTATTAGTTCTGATATGCCATCTTGTTTAAGTTCCTTTAATATAAGTTCGATCGTAAAAATTTGTTTTCGTGAGCCTGTCTAATGTGTGTATATGATTTGGTTTAAAATAAAACATAATATTTATTTGAAAAAGAACACACACACCACTACTTTTTCTTCATGTAGCAGTTCTTTAGCTCCTGCTGCTGGTGATGTCTGACGGGAACATATGTGCCAATGATAGATACACACACATACATATAAATCCCTGTATATAAATTTATAAATACATACATATATGTGCATTTAAATTGCCACAACAAAACAAAAGGTTTTTTTTCTACCCACTAGCAGAGGAGCCTGTAGGAAACCTATAGATGTAAATATGGTTGATAGTGTCAGCCATATTCACATCCACAACATACATACACAGTTTGTGCCTGTGGAAATGAAATGAGAGTAAGAGTTTTGTGCATCGATACCAACCTGAGGGGCATGCAGCATGTTGGCCAGTTGTGACATTCTGATAATAATAGTTCTCTTCAAGCCAACGTGGCGCACCATGTGAACGACATTTGCCAGCAATTTTATCCCAGGCACAATATGGATCCTGCAGTGCAACACATTCGCTATAAAATGACAAAAAAAAAGAACACACACAAATAAAATAAGAAAAAAGTTAACAACATTTTGTTATTTTTTTTTTTGCGAGTAAAAAAAAAACAGCAAAAGTCGCTGGTTAAGTTTTATTTAAATAAAAAATTGTATATCGAAAAAAATAAATTTAATGTTTGCTGCATCATCAGCATCATCATGCTGTTTTGACTCTTCTCTAGCAGCTACGACAACACACTTGTCTGTTTATGTAGAATTTGTATACATTTTCCCAACTAAAATCCAGAGTAAGTGGATGAGAATGATGTTGCTATTTATTTCATGCACTTATTTTATGTAGTTTTTTGTGAATAAAATAAATTTTATTTTTTCCATCAGCATCATCAACATGTGTATTTAACAGTGAAAATTTGTGTTTTATAAACAGAAAAAACTTAAATAAACTCATTTTTTTTTTGCAGTTTGACAAAACTCACCTGCAACTGGTGATTTTATCGTTGTGACAACGATGCAATTGTATGGCAATCACTTGACTATCAGTGACAATGATTAATTTACCATCATCGTAACTGCCATCTTTGGGTTGATCTATAAATAAATATAAAAATGAAGGAAAAAATATAAAAAATTTGGCAAAATAAATGCAACGGATTTTGCTAGGAAAAAAATGTAAATTTAAATGTAAAAACTTTAATAAACTGAACATTTCTATAACTAGAGAAAACCTGCCAGAGTTCTTGTTCCAACTTACCATACTGCATTGTTCTCACTATTCTCAAATTGCGTATGGGCTCACTTTTTGGCAAAACATCAATTTCTTCTATTACCACTGAGGTCACCTTTTTATCTGAATCCGCTGATTCTGCATTAACAGATTTTATGATTTTACCATGATCTAAAAGGGTTTTAATAGATGATTATTTCTGCAGGTTAAAAACAGTTCTCTGACAACTTACCAGTGCCCACAAATATCACATCATAAGTTTTGCCACCCGGCGTTTTGATTTGAGCATCTACCGCTATCTGTGTAAAGCGATATCTATAAAGAGAGAGAGAGAGAGAGTTAAAATTGGTTCATTACAAATCAAGAACAAAATAAGAAACAAATTGGTTCAAAATTCACTTTCTTAAAGACTATTCCTGGTGTTTATGCATTCCCATTTAACACCAAAACAAAACATGATTCTTTACCAACTGCAAACCCTTTAACAGTTCAATCGCGATTCCTTTAACAGTCCAATCGTATTTCCTTCAACAGTCTAATCGCGTTTCATTTAAGAGTCCAACTGTCACTCAATCGTCGCAGTCCAACTGTGAATATTTTGAACGGTTCAATCGCGATTACTTTAACAGTTCAATCGTATTTTCTTCAACAGTCTAAACGCGCTTCTTTTAAGAATTCAACTGTCACTCATTTAGCGGCTCAATCATGGTGCTTTAGCAGTTCAATCTTGGTTAATTTAACAGATAAAGCGTGGTTTATTTAACAGTTCGTTTGCGATTCCTTTAACCAAACGTTTATCCCAATCTTCACAGTCCAACTGTGAATAATTTAACAGTTCTATCGCGATTCCTTCGTATTTTCTTCAACTGTCTAAACGCGGTTATTTTAAGAGTCCAACTATTGCTCATTTAGTAGATCAATCTTGCTTCTTTAGCAGTCCAATCATGGCTAGTTTAACATATAAACCATGGCTCATTTAACATTTCCATTGGGATTCCTTTAACCAAACATTTAGCCCAATCGTCGCAGTCCAACTATGAATCCTTTAACAGTTCAATTGCGATTCTTTTAACAGTTCAATCGTATTTCCTTAAACAGTCTAAACGCGTTACTTTTAAGAGTCCAACTGTCGCTTATTTCATAGAACAATCATGGTTCTTTAGCAGTCCAATCTTGGTTACTTTAACAGATCGAATCATGGTTAATTTACCAGTTCGATTGGTTAACCAATCGTCCAACTATGAATCCCTTAACAGTTCAATCGCGATTCTTTAACAGTCCAATCGTATTTCCTTTAACAATCTAATCGCGGTTGTTTTAAGAGTCCAACTGTCATTCATTTAGCAGCACAATCATGGTTCTTTAGCAATCCAATCTTGGTTAGTTTAACAGATAAATTGTGGTTCATTTAACAGTTCGTTTGCGATTACTTTAACCAATCGTTTAGTCCAATTTTGGCAGTCAAGCTTTGAATCTTTAACAGTCCAATCACGTTTTTTTAAGAGTCCAACGGTTGCTCTTTTACCTGCTCAATTATGGTTCTTTCGCAGTCCAATCTTGGTTTGATTGCGATTTCTTTAATAGTTTAATCTCAGTCAAAACGTGAGTCCTTTAAGGTTCCAATCCAATTTAATCGTGAAACAGTCAAACTGTTGTTCATTTAACAGCCCAAAAAGCGTCATTCTTTTGTTTATTTAAAGAGCTCTTGTGGTTATTTCAACAGTCTAAACGCGTTACTTCAAGAGTCGAGGTTATTTCATGGGTCCAACAGCCTATCGTGGCTTTTTGACATTCTAATTATGGTTATTTGGAGAGTCGTGGTACTTTTAAGAATTCGAAGTTCGTAGTAATATGCAATCAGAAGTCCAATTAACTGTTCATATAGTCCAATCTTTGAACAATACCCCTATTGTATTGTGTTCATTCAAAAGCCAAGCTCAAGGTTCTATTAGCAATCCAATAGTGGTGTTATTGGTGTTATTTTTGTCAGTTCAATCGAGAATATTTTAATAGACTAATAGTTTATCCTTCAAGAGCCCAATCGTGGTTCTCTTTGAAGTCCAATCATGATACGAGTAGCAGTAAAATTTACATTTTTGACAGGCAGTTGTGTTTCTTTAAGAAGTTTATTGATGTCTCTTTCAAAAGTTCAATCATGGATCATTTGGCAGTCTAATCGTGTTTCCTTTAAACGTTCAATTGTGTTGTATTTCACAGTCCAATCGCAGTCAAGCTATCGTCAGTCCAACCATGAATGGTTCTTTTATATACACAATGACAATTGTCAAACAACAGCTCAATGGTTATTCTTTTGACAGTTGAATCAAATCATGGTTCTTGAAACAGTCGTATCATGTATCTTTCAAAGGCGCAATCGTGGATCATTTTAAAGGCTAGATCCAGTTTCTTTTTACAGTCAAATCTTGCATCTTTTCACAGTCCAATCATGATAAATTTCACATTTAATTTGTGTTTCTAAACAATCCAATCGTGTATTATTTCAGAGTCCTATCTTGGACAATCCGTGGTTCTTTTTGCGGTACAAACGTAATTTCTTTGACAGTGAAATTGTCGTTTTTTTAAAAGTTTAATTGCATTCCTTAAACAGATCTATTACAGATAAGCTTACAGTCCAGTCCTGGTTTTTTAAACATCTTATGCATCATGATTGTAAACAGCTCTATTAGAGTTATTTTGGGAATATCATGCAGATTCTTTTAGCAATCTAAGAGAGGTCCTGTTAACAGTCCAATGTCAGTTATATAAATCGCGTTACGAGTATCGCTCTTTTGACAGCCACAGTTCTTTCAGTAGTCGTGTTCTTTGAACAGCCAAATTGTTCTTCTTTTATCGGTCTAATCGTGATTCCTTTAATAGTTCAATTGTGTTTTTTTAACAATCCCATCTTGTTTCAAATCAAAGACCAATTGCGCTCCAACCACGGTTTGTTTAACGATCCAACTGTGATTCCCCTAACTGTTCAATTTTGGTTCTTTAAAAAGAGCTATCTCGGGTCAAATGCTGATGTTTTAAACAGCCCAATCGTGATTCTATTAACAGTCTCATGGGAGATCTTTTGACAGTCCAATGGTGGTTATTTTCTACCAGTCCAATTGTTATTATTTTGATCGCCTTAAACTTTTAGTGGCTTACTCGTGGTTCTTTTGAAAGTCCGATCACTTTACGAGTAGCAGTCTAACCTTCGCTCTTCTGTCGGTGATTCTTAAGCATGTCTAATCATTTCAAACGTTTAGTCATGAATACTATAACAGTTCTCCAAAGAACTTATTACTCTTGGGTTTCCTTCCCCTAAAGCTATTTAATTGTTTATCTTTAAAAATAACAACTTCATTCAATTATTTAGTTAACAATATAATTAAATTGTATTACATTTAGCCAAAGAACCCAAATTCTCCCGCCCCCCCCTAAAAACCCCAAACAAATTTTCTCTAAAATTGTCATTAAGTTTCATGTTCAAACTCAACTTTTACTCCTAGTAGTAGACTAAACACCGACACCATATTTAAAACCTTTTTGTCTCTCCATCTTTTTCTTTGGTTTGCCATGTGGCCTGCTGTTCTAGACAGTTTTTACGATTTGCAAATAATAGTAATAAAAAAAGAAGACTTTGAAAACTTATGCTTTTTTAATTGTGGGTTAATATCTATCTATCTACTACTAACAATAACAATTGTTTTCTTTTTTTTTTTGGTATCATGTAAATGTTCATGTACTTTTGTTAATTACGAAAATTTTTAACATTATTTCTTATTCTTGCTTCTAAAGAACCCATTAGTAGGGAAGGAACTTGATGAAACAGAGCAGGGAGGTAGGAGTAATAGACAACATTGTGACCAAGCAATTTTCTCCAAAATAAATGTTTTTTTGTGGTAATTTTGTGTTGGCCATATTAACAAACGTATTATTTGATAATTTGTAGGAAATGATGGCATACATTAAGGACTAATTGAGGAGAAGTTGGTAAAGCGAAGTGTTTGAAATTTGAAACTAAAGGGATTAGTTGAAATTTTAGTTAAAAAGGTCCTTCGAGCCGATTGACTTATTAATTTAACACTTTTCGCTAGTTATTCAAATGGTTTTTCGTGGCTTAACAAGTTTTGAATTCAAATACCTTTTCCATGTTATTGAATTTAATAAGAAGTTTTTGTTTACAAATAAAAGTGGTCCTTCGGATTATAGTCTTTGATCACAGAATTTTTGCTATTCCTTTTCTGTCTACTCCTGTTAATTACATTTGTCTCTTAATTTTACTTTCCTGTCCTCCAATACCTATACAAACTATATATTTCTATGGGAGTCTTCATAATACAAAAAATAACTTTTCATCTTTTGAAAAAAAAAAAAACAAAATGTTGAGAAAGCAACAAGAATGAACATATGGCAATTATAAAAAAAAATGTAATTTAATTTGTTCTAAAAAGAAATTTGCATTTTTATTTAATTTACAGTAGAAAAATGTTGTATCAAGAAAGAAGACAAAAAAAAAAAAAAAAACTTCATTTAAAAATATCTTTAGTCATTTAGATGTTAGCATATGGATGCCCTACTTAAAATAGTGTTAAGAGTGTCGCAAATGTTTTTAAACATAAAAAGTTGCTAGACTTAATGAGAAAAGCTTTTAATAATTAAAAAAAAAATTATCATAATTGAGATGACAAAGAATGGCAATTGGCTACTAAAGGGGAAGAGATATGTTAAAAGAAAAATGAAATGTAAATGAGACTGAAAAGGAAAATATCAGCCAGTAATAGATTTTTCTTGGTTTAAATACTTTTGTAACTCAAGTATATAACTGATTCCAAATCCTTCGAGTTTTAAAAACTGCATGGATTAATACATCACAGTAGAGAAATGAAAAATACTACTTCTAATCATAGTCTTTCTTTAATAATCCTAATCCAATCCAATCTTGAGCAAGTCATGAGGGATGTGGTTAATGAATTTCGATTCAAGTCATTTTATAGTTTTAGTGGTTTTCAATTGAGATTTCAGGAGAGTGCAAAAAGTTCTATGATTGATGATATGATCACAACAGGAATAATATCTTCTCAGACTATGAACACTTTTTCTCTTATCAGACAAAGACTTCGAAGATCTTGGTTATCAAACACTTAATACCTATTCATATTAAAACATCTTCTTAGACTACGATCATCTTCTCTCTCATTAGAAAAATACTTAAAAAAGCTGGATTCTCAAACGCTTAATACTTATTCTTCTCATACCACAATCATTTTCTCACTCATCAGCCATAAACTTTAAAGATCTAGGATCTCAAACACTTAATAACGAAA